ACGCGAGTCTCGTTTCATTTACAGTTTGTTTACAGATATTCTGCCAAAGAAATTAAGAAGTATGAAAATAATTATCAAAGAAAGTATGGGGGCTGCTGAAGAAAATGTAAGCATAGAAGGGTTTGGGAGGGGTAGGAGGTCTCTGAGCCAGAAACCTCTTTGGAGATAGAAACCTCATCTTTAAAAGTCATTATTTTTATCTACAAACGACTGTAAAAGAAAATGTCACAAGGTTTTGGAGGGGTAGGAGGGTTCCCTGATATAAAAACTCGTCTTGATTTACTACTTTGATACTCTAGTTTTTGGACATTATATAAGTACTAGCAGTGATATTTTAATTAATTTTGTCTAAATGTTAAAATAGTGCTTCAAAATTTAATATTAGTCTCTGGAGTTAATGGCCAAAGAAACACAACTCTTTCTGTCTTATTTATGTTTGAAAAGGGAGATAATACGTCTTACAGCTAGTGTAAATCATATGTGATTATCAAACGTAGCATATATTGTAGGTATATATTATTATTGTAGATTTAAACGACTCCTTAATAAAATTACAAAATATAATCTTTTATAGGATAATTCTCAGCTTGGCTGAGGATCTGCCTTATTTTGAGCTAAAAACAAAGACTCTTAAATAAAATTACAAAATCTCAGTTTGGTTTAGGATCTGTCTATTATATTACTACACCACACATATGATGCAACTTATGTACAATTAATCTTTGCGGAACCATTGAACAGGAAAAGGAAACCTATGCTTTTTGTAGTACCAATGATTTGGAGAGATCCAATAGATCATATTTGCAACTGTTACTACTGCATGAGGCCTCCAGTATGGAAAGGTGTATGGAAGAAGAAAAGGTGCATTATCCAACAGTCAATTAACTATATGCCAAGTACCCTACGGAGAAGGTCTGTCTGTTCCTGATACACCATTCTCGTTCACATTTGAGGCTGATGATGAAGACGAAGAGAATTTAACTTCCAGTACTGAATCATCAATGTCACATGTTTTTCTTACCCTCCTCCTCCTCTGAAATCACACCTCGTAACACCTCTTCACTTTTTTCTGTTACTTATTTTAAGAGCATAGACTCGTAACACACTTCAAATATACACCAGTTTCAAATTACTTTCAAAGTACTTCAAATAAATTTTCAAAATACTTCACCTTCTCTATGCATTTAAAACCAAACCAAGACTCTCCAGTGAACTATCAGGTGATGCCAGTAGTTAGTATACATTGGTGATATGAAAAATTTATATAACTGAAATAAGGATTTAAAATTTTTAAAGAAATAACTGTAGTGTACCTAACATTGTCCAAAAACCAGTTTAACGCATTATGTCGGTTAACTTGGACCATACAAGTTGATCATAAAATGAACATTCCATTGGACAACTATCATCATATATAAACCACTGAACATTTTAAATAACCTAACTTTATGTTGTTGTTGGGCTTAACGCCATTTTTCAGCACACAATAGGCTATTCATAGCGGCCAGTATTACATACCTTGATCTTTGTTGTCTGACATCAAAATTTAACATAATTTGCATAGCAAATCAACCCTATGAACGTGAAACAGCTGTTGATAATGATGAATTTCTGGAGTAAAATAAATTATCATCACACATTACTTATTTCACTAATATGAGGCAGAAAACCTGTGTTGGAATTGAATTTCTCAAATAATCTAAATAACATTTAAAGTATTTGTGTTTCTCCAATTTTTCGCCAAGATTTTATTTCCTGTGACTTTTAAACAGTCCTTTCATTTTGCATTGATTTAAAACAAATAACAACAATGTATCGCACGTATTAAAAATTAAGCGAATCCACGGATCCCTCCTTTAAACAATGTCTTTATTCTTAGCAAATATTTCAGTTTTAATGCAATGTCATTTAGGAGCATCTAGAAGAAAAAGAAAACTAAATCAGAACTTTTCAATCGGAAAGTAAATGGTATTATCTATTAGGATGGATTTACCAAGGACACGTCGTATTAAGAGGTAACAAACATATCTCATTAGCTAGCAAGAAAAGCCTTGATTTAACTTGTAGTGATTAGAAAATTACTAAAATAAATTCTATCAAGCAAAGAATGGATCAATAAAAAAAAGGATTCAAGAAAAACAAGTCAACAGAATTCGTTTGGTAATGACCATATATCTTTTTATTTTTATTTTAGAGGTCCTGGTTGTATATGACTCATGTTACCAACTAGTGTTAAAACATCAATTATTTTTATTTTTAAAATTTTAAGAACTATAAACACTTTTGGAGTCAACATTTTCTGTAGTCGCAATAAAAATATATTTTTGGGCGAATTTTGTGTTTTTTATATTTTAAAACTATATTTGAAGTTTCATTTTTGAAAATGTTCATTTATTACATTTTAAAAATTATATATTTGAAATTTTCTTTTAGGCTACTGCCTCACACGATAATCTTAAAACTGTTTTTGTTATTTAGTTACCCGACACATACAAAGTTAGGCACAAGATTCTCGTAAAACGTAATGAAGCGGTAGAAGAGTACCTTACTTATATAATACTATTTTAGAAACAAAGGATGCAAATTAAATAGACATTGACTGGGTTGAGCGGCAACAAGAGCGTTCTAATAAACTGCAGGAAAATCGTTAGCACCCAGTGTTCCTTCCCAGGCTGCGCTACCTAGTGAGAGGGGTACCATTTATGCCACTAGCCACGGGCTCCATTTACGCCATTGACGCCACTGGTTTTTGTTACTAAAATGCCGATATACTATGTGGCGATACAGATTCAGCTATAACCCTTCCTTCGTCTTGTTTAGGACCATATATAGCATGTATCATTAGAAGAATAAGGCAGAGTTATATTGAAATGAATACAGAGAGCTCTTCCGCGTCCCATTAATCGGCTAAGCAAAACACACGCTCGATAAAATTGCATACTGAAAGCACGGCATTTTAATTTTGTGACTTCTCGTGAGAATCTAAAGATTTTAAGCAAATTGATATGAAATTCTGATTGGCGGACAACGAGCCGGTAATAATTCCCCAGAAATCATTAATAAGGCAGATGATATTTGTCAGAGATTATTTACGGGCGGCATAGTGGATAGTAAGGTTTATCGATCCCTCATCGATGTAATCCTCGATGATTACCATAGTGAATGATTAAGGTTATGTAATTAGATCAGTGACAAGAAAATTAGATGATCATAAATAATGCTCACCGTAGACAGATCAGGGTGATAAATTCGCGATTAACTACATATATAGAGTACTAGGGAGATCGATTTTGGAGATGTTGTTTAGGTCTATTAGGAATTATAGCCCCAAAACCAATACTGATTGCAAAGCAACTGAGAATGAACGCTATTGACGTTGTTCGTGAAAAAAGGCATTGGTGTTATTGGTGATGTTGCTGGTAAAAACATTTTCCGCAATTAAGGATAAACTAGCACGATAAATACGAAACAAATCCCAGCCAGTTAATTACCCAGCACATAAGTTATGCCTGCAAATGTTAGTAAAATAATAAATCAAGCAGCGAATCAAAAACTAGCAGAGTTGGTTGGTGTATCCCTATCAGAACAAGACAAAATACAAATGCTAGCCTGATAGCGGGAAGTTGTCTTCGTGTTAGACGATAACAAATATAATAAAATGTTCAAGCGTGTATCTGATCCGGCACTAGACATGGACGCATCAATTCCAAAAGATGAATCGATACTTATTATTCTTATAACGCACGACAGTCAGATCAGCGTAGAATAATCGAACTACAAGTTCAGGATAAAAGTAGATATTCTTACCATCTGAAACATTTGTGAAATGTGAAATTTTAAAAACAGATGATACTGAATATGGAGCTGATGTCACCTGTTGCATTTCCATACTCGTAGTATATGATGATGTGATGCTGGACAAACAACCAATCCAACTCGGATATTTTCTCGAGGCAGGCACAAAAATATAGATATAATTATGCTACTCAGCGATGTTCACAACTATCTAAAGTGATCAGAGATGACTGCAATCTTCTTTTGGTTATATTTAATGGAGTCGATACACATGCTCTGCTAAACATTCCGCAGACTTGGTGTTCAAGGAATATGAATATGATATAAACTTCTTATCCAAAGCACAAGCTACCCCACACGGATTTATCACAATAAATTTACATGATCCTAGGTCGAAGTATCGTGTAGGTCTCGATAAATTGTTTGAGAAACACATCAACAGGAAAGGCGAAGATATCGAATGAGTGAGCGGTTACAGAAACAATCACGCCATAATGACGAAAACATAAATGTCACAAAATAGAGTAACAAAGGAAGCTACCAAAATAAGAAGATTTCTGGTAATTTTGAGAGCTCGGTTTTGACGTTATCACTGTTCATATTTTCATTTTTGTTGGAAGCTTTAGTTTTCAGCTAATCACTAACTGAAAAATGTTGTAGGATTTGCCAGCCATGATGCTACAGTACTGGCGTATCACAATCTCATGTTCTAGAATTCCTGTAAATAATTCATAATAGTCCCAGAATAATATTTTCGACAATGAGCACTTTGTAATTTCCAACGAATAATTCAAACAGATGTTTCCTCTCAAATAATATCTAAACACAATATTAAAAGCGTCTGCGGACTGATATTATATCAAGAACATACGAAATAAAACTCCAAGATAGGAAACCTAAATATACAGCCCTTTTTACTCAGTCTAATGTTTCGCTGTGTCTATTCACGTGACACAACCCATCCAATAGAAAATAACTTAATCCTTCTAAGAACCCACCTGACACATTCAGCCAATGAGAAAGTAGCCAAAACCTGTCAACATGTTTTATTATTAGAATCTTGACAACATCTGTCTATATATCTTATGCAATCTACAGGCATTCTTAATATCTTAAAGTATATCCGTGTGTAAAACTTAACCATCTAATATCTTGATAATAGATTAATAGGTGATCATTAGAATTTATAGTCACGAACAAAAACCGCTTCAGTAGTCTAGTGGTTAGAGCGTCCGCCTCAGCTGCGGAAGGTAGTGGGTTCGATCCCCGGTCGAGTCATGCCAAAGACTTAAAAAATGGTATTAACAGCTGTCTTCCTTGACGCTCAGCATTAAGAGGTTAGTGTTAGAACTTGTAGGCCTGGTGTCAGGATAATGTGTCTGGGTTGGACATCATGCTACATGTCTGCGGCATGATGTCCCAGTGCTAGACATCACTATAAACTGCCACACTGCAGACATCTTAGCGATATGACTGAAAAATTGTTAAAGCTAGTTTAAAAATTATATATATCAAAGAGATTGAAGTCCACAATCTTTGCATGTTTTAACAAAACTTATTTCACTAGAAAGCAATGTAAAAATTAGAAAATAGAACTTACTGTTCTGTGAAAATCCAATGGACCATTTCTTAAACTTTACTTACTGATTCGACACTGCTTCAAAGCAAATTTCATGGCAATTTTTACCGACTAAAAGTAATTATATATATTAAAATTTACATAGAAAGATCATTCATTTACAGTGCATTCAAACACTTAAATTTTATGTTTTATTTATTACAAGAGAGCGGCAAGATTTCAAAATGTAAACATAAAGTTCCCTGCATGTGCTCCAGTACTGAAAAATCTCGACAACGTTGTAACAATATCTAATCTTCTTCTCAACGTGTGAAAGGAAAAGCGGAAAAGATTAAATCCCCTCACTTAAACCTGCTGCTTAAAAATTATCATTCCGCAGACCATATTTTTGAAAGTGACGCTGAAAGTGACTTCGGCTAAGTTTGATATTTTAGATCAATTACCGTATATAATGGGGTAAAGATTTCTTCAAACGTAAGACATTCCTAACCATCCCTTCGATCTTGACGTGACCGACTGTGTCTTACTTTGTTAGGATGTTTAAAAATATCAATACAATATTGCAAGCGGCGAATCTCTCTCTCTCTCTCTCTCTCTCTCTCTCTCTCTCTCTCTCTCTCTCTCTCTCTCTCTCTCTCTCTCTCTCATTACCACACACAACTTATGTATGCCATACAGTAAACAAAATGTTAATTTTTATGGTTGTTTTTATGGATGTTAAAGTAGGAAGCCAGACTACTATCATGCTTAAAAAGTGCCTTTTCCCCCAATTTAATATGACAACGTTTACAAACTAATTAAATAGAGTCCCGGTAACATCACCATTGTGCCATTTGTTTCAATATTACGGCAAATTACTTGAAAACCAAACAAAAATTAGACAAGGCTGATTCCTTTTTTAGATGCTTTGTTATGACTTTTTATATTTTAATTCTGACCAAAATAGTGGATTTTCAAGTGCACGGATTTTGTAACCCGACGGCATTGATTTAATAAACCGAATAAACAGAGAATCAAAGAAATAGTATGTATTACAAATGCACTATGCTGGTATCCTGCAATTGGATGGACGGTTCGTCCCTTTTATCAAGTTGATCTTCATGTCTTTTCTGTCGGCAGGCGAAAACTAAGGCGAATAAGGCTAGGCAACCCGAAAGAACCCGTAGACCGCTGTCAATAGAAACAAGCCTGAGCCTCATTCGCGTTAAGTCATACAGAGTGCAGGCCCCTTTCACTCCGCAGCTTTCTCCCCACACCAGGCAAACCGAGTCAAATATATTGCCGATGAGGATCGGTGCTGGCAAAAGCACTGAAAGCATAATATTTAAAATCTTATAAAGTAGTAACATTGATATTCCAATGTATTATTACATATAGTACATAATAAAGTAGTATTTTATAATATATAATACCAAATAGTAGTAAATATAGCATATTATAACAGTGATATATATATATATATATATATATATATATATATATATATATATATATATATATATATATATATATATATATATATATATATGCATGTGATATATTATAAAATAGTAATATATAGTACAAAGTAGTGTCATATATCATATATTACAAAGTGATATTAAATATAGTTTTACGAGTCCGTGCTATTAAAATAAGCAGAAGAAACGAATTAAGACAACAAGCTTTGTACAATTTAGCAAATAATTCATTTCCCTAGAATACAAAGTGAAAAATGAAAATAAGAACTTGCGGTATTCTGAAACGAATTCAAATAGATTCCAAATATAATCCAAATATTATTGACTCATGTACTAGTGATGAAACGTCCTGAACTGAACTTAGTTCATTTCATTAAGAGATACAAAATTTAATGGGATGTCATGTCTGTTGTGGTCTGCAAACTGCTGATGTGTCATTAGTCTCTTGTTGAATGACATAAATATTATTCCATGTTTGAATTCAGTATTAATTCCAATGAATGTCTTTATCCAAGAATTTTACCACAACATTTTTGTATTTCCAGAGAAAATAATAAATTAAATTCATAAAGTTAAAGGAAATAAAATTCAGACCAAACTGATCACAACGTAATACAACTTATAGTGCTAGTTGTTAATGCACGACTGGTAAAATCCTCACAGTCACACGATGATATAGTTCTCTGTTTGACCTCAGGACAAAGTTACAATTTTTTAAAAACAACCATTATATAATGAAAAACAACCTTCTAGAATGATCTAACGAACCTTTTTATTTACAACACAACAGCCTATAAAATTCACTTAGGAATCTCCAAATGTCCTTGATCGGCAATTTACGTATTATTGTTTACCTGAATAATGATTATGTTAATAAGCTCAAACACATAGTGAATAATGAAGCTATTATTAGTTGTTCACAAAACTGAAAAAAAAAATAAAAAGCCGTTCTGGTCAAGCAGGAATATTTCAATTTTGGACATAGTCAAGGTCAATTCCAGCATACAATGCTACGTTACAATAACATGTAATGAAATTTAAAGAAAATTAAAATCTAGCACACATACAATTAAATTAAATACAGATAACACTTCCTCTCACAAAAAAAAGATTTGTATAATAAAGCTATCTTTTAACTGTATGTCATATAATATACATGGGGTAAAAAATAATATAAGTCAAAATCTTGTGAATGCCACGAAGTATACATGAAACAATACATTTCTATACACCTGAAAGTGTATCTTCTATTAAATTTTATTATCCACGTGATGTACCTGATATCAATATTTATATTTCCTGCAATATCATTATCCAATTCAATAATTTCTAATTTTCGTTTTTCATCTTGTCGATGAACACTAAACACAATAATCGGAGAAGTAGCTTAAATAATATACACTTTAAAGTGTTGTAATGCTAATATCAAAACTAAATATTTCTTCTTGATTGTGAAATTATTTATTATTTAATTTCTAAGAAAATAGCACACTGAATGATCAACACAATTTTAATCTTCTTGAATCAAAACTGCTCCAAACCTAACATCACTTGCATTAACATACAGTTTAAATGACTGACTCGTATTTGTAGCTGCAAGAACCGGTGCACTCCTAATTATGGCCTTTATATTATCAAAAGCCTCATGATATTTGTCTGATCAATGAAAGTAGTTTTTCTTGTTTAATACATTTGACAGGTTTTCAGCAATATTAGAAAAATTGGAACGAAATTACCGATAGTATCCGGCCATACCTAAAAATGTCGTCAGTTCCTTTTTACTGATAGGCACAGAGAATTCGGAGACAGGCTTGACCTTAGCATCTTAAGGTGTATCTTGTCCATGTCCCACGATATGTGCTAGAAACGTTGCACAAGCAGGCCAAAATTCACTTTTGAATGAATTAATTATCAGCCTTACATCAGTGAGTGTGTCAAATAATTTCAGAATTGTCGCTAAATGTTCTTTCCAGATGTCTCGTAGATGATGACATCATATGACGTAAGCATCACAATTATATAAATCAGATGCAATTGTGTTCATTAAACGCTGAACAGTACTTGGCAAACCTATCGTCCAAAACGGCATCACTTTATGTTGATAAAATCTATCTGGAGTCACAAATATCCTTTTTCTCTTTCCATCACTGGAATTTACTCAAATCCTTTTAGAATGTCAAATTTGGGGAAATACTTTGCGTTTCTAATTTTTCAATGCGGTCATCGATTCTTGGTAATGGAAATGAATCTCTTTAAGTCACACTGTTCATCTCTCTGTAATCAGTGCACATGCGGAAAGTATTATCTGGTTTCGGAATAGTGAAAATGGTTAACTCTTGTCACTTTTACTAAATACTAAATCTCTTTTTCAAGCATTCGTGCTTGATAGGGTTCAACCTGTACAGCTGTTGTTTCACAGGTGCGAAATTTACACTTTCAGCGTCATTGAAGATTTTCTTTGTTCCTTTATGAATATAAGGAAATAAGTGCTCATATTCAAGTCTTAACTGTTTCAGATCATTCTTGTCTTGTTGTTGCAAATGTAAACGTTTTTGGTCCAGATTATTCATAGTTTATGAATTCCGAAAATTTGTTACTCCCAAATCAATAGAGTACGACTGAATTCATTCGCTTAAATCCTCACTGAAGGAAAGAAGTACACATAAATTGGTTGTTGCATGATTAGTATGTTTATCTCTCTCTCTCTCTCTCTCTCTCTCTCTCTCTCTCTCTCTCTCTCTCTCTCTCTCTCTCTCTCTCTCTCTCTCTCTCTCTCTCTCTCTCTCTCTCTCTCTCTCTCTCTCGATTTACTCCTTATAATTATTTACATCCCATTAGAACTATTAGGACTTTTATAACTAATCTGAAGAAATTTTGAAGAATGAACAAGAGAGACAGAATTCTATCTGAAAACTCAAAAGTACTCTCCACTGCACTTCTGTAGAACAGTAATTTCACTTTTGGCTCTAATGACTAAATACCAAATTTAAATATAATTATCTGGAACATTCCAGACTTTAAAATTGACCCTTGATTAGATTGGACAAATTTGGGAGTGCAAAACTGAGTTTTAAAAATAAAAAAATACATTATCAAAACGTTTACTATCTTTTAGTTTTAATATCCCTCAAAGTAATTCTCCCTGGTAATCTTGTTGAAGCACAGATTATAGTCAAAAAGTATTGGTTGTCTGGCTTGGTCTTAGATAAATGACCGACACAGTCTACCATTATTCTGCT